ATCTCGGAGCATAGCAGCCTATGAGAATGAATAATTTTCGGATCGTGTGAAGTAACAATCGTCTCCTTCAGTATCACTTTTATTGAAAAATTATCGCGTGGCCTCATGGTATGCATATTTGCGTTCCGACTAAACTATCTTTAAACATGCATCTAGTCCATCATTAAATAAAGCGTATTTCACTTTATTTTTCTCAAGACACATTTTAATGAAAACAATGAATATTTGTTCCTATTTTTTCTGGTTGTTTAATATGGCGAATGTTCTGAAATGCTTGCGAATTTTTTTAGGGAAGTGGTTACAAATGATGGAGTATCTTCAGGCCAGTCAAGTCAAATTAATTTTGCCTATTTTCTTTTTGTAGACTTCTAATTAAGTCTAAATTCAAACTGATTTGTTCACTCTTCGAGTGTGCGTTTCAACGTTTCACGCGGTGACATTGTTTGCCGTACTGCGTCCGTACCCGCTTCATTTTTGCCATGTCGGATTATGAGTCAGATGAAGAGCCTACAGCCGCTGATGAAACAGTTCTCAACAAATATAAACTTGCTGGTGAGATTGTACACAGTAAATTGCTTGTTATTACGTTCGACAGTGTGTAAGCTGTTTTAAAGGAGCTCATGGAACAATGTGTTCCTGGCGCAAAAATTATCGAGCTTTGCGAGTATGGCGACAGACGAATCGTCGAAGAAACAAATAAGCTTTTTAAGAAGGAAAAAGAAATGAAGAAGGGAGTTGCATTTCCCACTGCCATCAGTGTGAATAACTTTATTTGCCACTATTCGCCGATCAGCGGGGAGGAGAACATCATTGAAGAGCTTAACGATGGGGACTTGGTGAAAATGTGTGTTATTTTACTTTCGGGAGCTTACTTTTAGAGATTTGGGTGCACATATTGATGGCTTTTCTTCCGTTATTGGACATACTTTCGTGATCGGTGCTAGTCCCGTAACTGTTTTCTGCATCTTAATTTCTTAGGAAAAGAGAGTCACTGGCCGGAAAGCTGATGTTATAGTTGCGGCGAATGTCGCTGTTGAAGTTGCTAGGCGCTTGGTCAAACCAGGAAATGAAAATTACCAAGTGTCTGACATGATCGCAAAAGCTGTGGCAGATTTTGATTGCAGACCAATTCAGGGCGTCCAATCTCACCTTCTCAAAAAACTTGTCTATGTCGGTGAGAAGAGCATAGTCTTAAACCCCGATGATGACCAAAAAAAGGGTGTTGAGAAGTGTATCTTCAAAATGTACGAGGCTTGGTTGCTTGATATCGTCATTTCGACCGGCAGTGGAAAGCCGCGGGAGCATACCGCTAGAACGACTTTATTCAGGAAGAATGAAACACTTTACCATCTAAAAATGAAGGCGTCTAGAAGTAAATTTGCTTGCCACTAACTTTTTTAGAGTTCTATAGTGAGGTTTCCGCAAAATTCCAGGAATACCCTTTCAATATAAGGTCTGTTGAGGACATAAAGTCGGCGCGTTACGCTGTCACTGAATGCGCAAGTCACAACGTCATCACTCCGATGCCTGTTCTCGTCGAAAAGGAAAAGGAGTTTGTTGCGCAGTTCAGATTCACCGTGGTACTGATGCCTAATGGATTGATGAAGATCACGGGCCTGCCTTTTGATTCTTCTCTATATAAAACTGATTTCAAGACGACGGACGCCGAAGTTAAAGAGCTTCTCAGTCAGCCAGTCAAAGCGTCTGGAGGTAAGAAGAAGAAACCTCTTAATGCTGGCAACGATCAGGGTAGGTCCACCGCACAAAAGGCGTAGTTCCCTATCCCTCCAGTGGTTGTCCATTATGTACATGCATGTCTAATATTTTCCAATAAATGGTGATTTTTTAGGTCCTGTCCTTTTCCTACAGCTTAATAACCATCTGTTGACTTATTGGTGTTTTTTTAACAACATCGCATTTACAACAATTTCTTGCGTTCCTACGTTTGTTTCTCGAGGCTATGGCTATTCCTTTGTGCCATTGCTTATAAGTTTAGGGGCGAAATGCACGGTTACCCTGACAGGATGAGAATTCCGTATGTGCTACCTTTTATCGTGAGTCGGAGAGGGATTCTCTTTAGTTGCTCATTTTGAACGTTTGCAGCATTGGTCTGATTAGTGGAGTTTTTGGCCAATCGTAAGTCTGGTGTAATCCCTCGGGTGCATGACGGCTTTGTAGATGCGTAGTAATGCGCGTTTTTTCGCTCTCCTGACGTCAGAATCTGAAAGTGGTGCTAGTTTTGTGGCTGATTGTGCATTAAGGGCACATGACTTTTGGATCCCGATATAATTTAGTTATTTTTCATACCATTCAAGTTTCGAATTGTCTCCGCGCTCTCTGGAGCTAATAAAGTATGCGAGTAGTGCACCACTGTGAATGCGTGAAGCTACTTTATTTTTGTTTTCTTCTTGTTTATGCTTTCGTTGTTGCAACGAATGTGTCATTGAAATGCAGTTTAGAGGGTTTTAATTCCTTACAAATGAATAAGTCGGTGACTAGTGTACTATGAGTAGTAAACACTGGAACTGAGTTCCGATGAACCATATTTAGGCTCTGTGACTCCCGTGTTACTTGCACAAACTAGTCAGAATCGAAGTGACGGAGTTAGCCTAGGTTTGATGCCATGCGGTTTTAAGCTCACACCATGCGGATTGTTAACCAGAGTAAATAGTAGATGGTGACCTGGCCACTTTTTGATATGATATTTTGAATTCCAGTTTCCTAGGTTGGGTAGTCCTACATTGATACTACCGCTACTTCGGTTCACATCTGCTGGAATATTTTATGCAAGAATCCAGTGTTCTGCTGCTGTTTAGATGTAGTCTATGTATTATTTAAGCGGAACCTTTCTTGAATTGGTACTGTAGCAGAACGGCATTCGACTTGATTAGGTATTTATCTGAGGGAGCTTCTCATTCTCCGCTGGTTCTGTTGTGATGTTCTGCCATGCCCACGACCTCCCACCCCTTTTGCACGTTAATAATGGATCATCCTCCATACTGGCATGGCTTGTCATTGTCTTCAGGAAGGACTTGAGTTTCGGGAAAACTCATAAACCATAAGAGATGGTTCAGATTCCGTAAACACTCGATCCTTGCGAGCTAATTGTGGAGAACTTTTCTGCATTCAACTTGAACTTATTCATCCTTATTGATGCAATGCCTGTTTAAAGGTGTGACGGGGCTACCTAACACTCGGATCCTATAATCACCAATTAGAGCATAATCTCCAATTGCTCTGTTATTTACAGACTGCCAATGTAACAACCATAAGCGCTTGTTAAGTTTTTGTGACTGGATGCAATCACTTGATATAGTTTTCTGTTAAAATTGCAGAAGAGACTAATTCATTCGTGTCCAAAAATAAGAAAAAAGACTAGTTCCTCTGTGGTTCATATGGGCAAATATGTTATTTAAAAACGTTAAAATTGAAGTTCCTTTATTAGTGGTTTAGTGGAGGGTGCGACTTCGCCCCTGGGTTGTCCTACATGATGTGTTTATTGTGTGTTGTCATATGTCAGAATAAAATATTTACCCATTAAATGTAAGTAGAAGCATTCCAACTCACTGGTGCATTGGGTACAACTACCATGTGCGCCGATATTTACTTTGGAAAGGGGCGATGATGTGGGAATGTACTAGAAAGGCAGAATTTACAAATCGAACGTCTTGTTCATAATTGCAGCCGTGTTTACACGGTTCAATAGTTTTTCTTAAAAATATGGCAATCATAAGCCGAGTCTTGAAAGTCGGTGATATTTGTGATTGTGTCCACTTCTATCCACCAAGTCTTCCTTTTCAATCAAAACAATCAAGCAATAGTACTGCGTTAAATGCTTTCATTTTATAGTTGTAGGGTTATCCAAGTGACACTCATCCGGATTGCGAACCATTGACACAATCACAAACTTAACAATACCGTTTTTTCATGTATTGTTAATAATGCAATGCCTCGAGACTTCCCTGAAGACAAAGGAAGACATGACACCCGGAGGCAATATGCGTTCGCCACACAGTAGGGCCGGGGGACTACCAGCACGGCCCGGATGCCAGCGCATCTGGCAAAGATACAACGGCGGAGCACCTAAGTGGCCCCTTTACCAAAACCGAAGCTTAAGCAGTCAACCGACGTATTACTTGGCCTCTCCCCCCTTTGGAGCGTCGTACTCAGCCTTACCTTTGGCCACCCTCACGTTAGCCATCACAGCGTAATCAGTGCTGTAAGGAAACACCCACGCGCTAACTGTACCAGTCATTGAATTTCCATACAACTAAGGGGTAACTTGACTACAACACCAGTTATCCACCTTGGCAATTCTACTGTATTCGGCGTTTCGTTTTGTGTGGGAACTGGATTCAGGACGGGGAGTGTGCTGGCCGTCACACGTGCTCGTAGCTAGTAGTAGGACTATTGGCCCAAAAGTGGAGGCGTGTAACAACGGATGAAATTGAACATAGTTCCGTGGGGGCATGGCTTCACCCCTAATCCTTCTTGGCACTGTGCCCTCATTTCAGTGCTGCCCAGTCGTACATACCCGGGTTTCATCCAGCTAGTGGAGGATGTATCGCGTGTCCACGTATTTGACATCCTCATACAAGTTCGGTAGGCAGCTCCATAACGAACTTCTTTAGATGATTCACAGCCAATGTCGCCTTAGTTGTTGATAGCTTTCCTGTAGAACGGTCTGGACTGAGGTAGCTGCCGAAGGAAGACGTCATTTTCAGCCCCCCTGTTAGAGGTCGTCACCAATTCTTCTATCCGCGACATATGCACACCTTTCACCCCGCTAAGGTTTATCACCCAGCGGTAGAAATCCAGATACTGCACTTTAATTTCGTATTCGCTTTCCGTTGGCACTAATAGAATGAGCCGAAACTTCTCTGAAGAGGACAGGAGACAAGAATTGGGCCGGATATACATGTATTCGACATCAGTGGGACTTGGAGTTACTGGCATGGCTCGGTGGTTAGCTTACCCGGCGAAGGTAGAATGGTGGAGCCCAAATGTGACTCATTACCAAACTCGAGAGTCAAACAAACATTTGACGTACTACAGATGTTATTGCTAGTTCCTTACGGGTTGTTTACTAATCTGTCAAATCACAGGAGAATTCAAGGCCATAGCAATAGATAAACCAAACAATATTTCCCCAGTCCTTCATGTAAAACCAGATTGACATGTTAAAAGATGCTTTGAGTAATTTTTGATCTTTCTGTTCCCCATCATTGGAGGTTATCGCTGGATTAGTATCTGCTTGGTGCCATTGCGTTTTTTGTTCTACCTCTAGCCCTGAGCTGTATGTAGACTCCTGCCCTACTCTGTAGACATGTGGACGACGAAAACGTCATTTGAGTATGGCCACAGACGTAGGTGGTGGCTATGTGAGTGGTTCTTAATCACGCCGATGAAATCAAGCCCTTCAACTTCAAGTGTATCAGTCTGAGGAGGATCGAATGGAAACATAGTACAGAAAGAAGAAAAAAACAACATTTCTTTTTTAATAGGAAGTTATGGCGTCTTAAAAAGCCTCAAATCATCCAAGGCCGCCTCCTAAAGTGGAATCTGACCCCACAGGGTAGTACACCAAACAAGCACAATCCGATCGTCATACTAATGGAGGCGTATGACTCTTTGATTTGGATAACTGCTACGGCGAAATAGGAATTCTCATCACTTTTATGAATGAAAGTAAAAGTAGGAATCCGTATCGAATAAAAATTGCATTGAGAAAGAATTTGCATTTTACAAAACTGCAGCGTGATTTTGATTGGGGAAATTATCATCTACATTGCCCTTTAAGTAAGTTTACAAATGTTTCAGCTAAAAGCAAGGCAATTTAGGTTCCGTGCCACCTGCATGATTAAACTGCAAGGTTCATGTGCTGAGTACTTGCACCTCTGGTAATCACATGGGTCCGAGGCCAACTTCACCTGTGTATATAAGCTCATTACATGCAGCCCAACTAAGAACACTTGGATCACGAGGTAAATGGAGAACATCTTCATTCTGTGAATAGACAGCTTTTCAACATCATTTTTATAAAGCATTTTTGGAATGCCACCTTGATATGTTGAAATACTTTGTGCTCTCTCTTTCCCTGGCACCTCTACATCTCGATTCTGCGCCATTGAACTAAGCGTTTTTAATAACTCTACCTGCTTCTTTGAGTAAAGTGACAATTGAAAGCCGTGTCTTGATTTCTTCAGATTTCTAAATGTCGTCTGATGAAAAGAAGGACGAGGTGAGTCCATTTCTGAATGTATTTCATTTGGATTTTAACCCTCAAAGTCAAATGACCTACCAATGCTTGGAATTGCGTGGTTTTGACACCTTAGCAACAGGACACAAATTATGGTGCAAAGTTATCCAAGTCATAGTTTGATGCAAAGGAAGTAATTTTGATGCTAACAAAAGCGAGATGCTCAAAAGCCCACACCCAGATGACCAGCACAACTTGTCTTCACATTAAATTATGCACATTAGGAATCGCTACTTTGCCTTGAGTAAAGAATGCTACCTTTAAATAGGATGCAAAGAAGGAAGGCTTCTTCAAGAAATTGTTTAGTACGCCAAGCAAAAGTTCTTCCACCGACAAACCAAAAAAGCATGGCAGTAAGTAGATCTTCCATACATACTACATATCTCCATTCACTCGTAAAATTATACGCTTTCAATGTCTCCGGCCAGCACCCACAATCGCAAGTGCTTAACTGTGAAACGATATCTAAATAATAATTTAATCTCCTATAAAACATGATTAATAAGTTGCTAGAAGTACTTCAACAAGCGAAGCAAGAAATGCAGTTAGTGGTCCAGGGAGGGACGGGTAATGAACTGGGTCAAGCGTTGCCTTTCCGATTCATAATTGCTAAAATGCTGGTTGCATTAAAACCCTATACGAGGTCACTCTTGTATTTGCTACTATAGACTTGTAAATTGAAGAGTGCTGGAAGCGATAAATGGAGTTACTATTGAGAAATGGCATGCATTTTCAGGTCCTCATTCTATTTCACAGCACTTAAAATTCGCCCATCAACGATTTAATAGCCCATAAGAGATTCGCATGCTTGTTACACTTGACTGCACTTATTTACTTGCTTTATTTATGATAGACAAAACAGCATTCCGTAAAACCCCAAAACACGCGGGTGATGATGATCAAAAGCAACACACTCATGACGGGAACCCGGATATGGAGCAAGGAGAGAAGGATCCCAAAACGGACCAGGTCCTCCGTGATGAGAGCGGCGACTGCAAGTGAGGACGGAATTCATCCTACGTTCTGACAAACTTATTCAACTGAATTAAAATGCCGTTTCTTTTTAAAATATTACACTTCCATTTACTCACCAGTTTATTACTCGTTTAAAAGGAGGGTTTAACCGATTACTTTATAAAAGCCAATAGATCAGTATAATCAACAGAAAATATTTTCTATGGACAAGCTGACAACGGGTTTTAAGAGTACAATGGAAAACACGCAGGAGTACCGTAGGGGACTGCCACCATTTAACAGAGCTTTGTTAAAAGCTAAAAACGACTGTAATTTGCTTCAAGATCGCAAGCACACTAAAATCATTTATGATTTTTACAAATAGGAGACTAAATCATAAAATTTGGAAACTCAAATTACACAGTCAAAGCAAATAGGTGCCATTTTGCAACATATTGTAAAAATAAAGTGGTTTATCCATCGGTATTGGTGAGGCGCTACTTTTTTACTTTGAATTAGCCCCCTTGTACCTCACTGTGTGGGCTGGCCTTTTAGGCCAAGCCAATAGCCCAGGCACCTTCTCTGCGCTAAATGCATATTCTGCCCGAGTATTGTATCTTCTTTCGTCTTCAGGGAGTCTCGGGACGCTATAATATTGGTAATACATGTTTGGCACAAGATGCGCTGCTGACAGTGCAGAAAATCTTCAAGAAACTTCATCGTGCATTCTGTTAAAGCCGTTTTTGCGATCATTTAATTACATCCGACCAGAAACAGAAGCTACACTAAATTAAATGTGCACTAAAACATGCTTCTTTCGGCTCCTTAGCCTGCATTTAGCAGCCAAATTTTTCACAGATGATAATTTGGAAGTAAATGAGCGATTTTTGATGAGATTATCTTTGATCATGAACTAAAATATTGTATCGGTGTCGTATGCCTGTACCAAAAGCTTTTGGCACACAAGCATGCAATGAGTCCTTTTACACGCTTTAAAAAGCTAAGGCAAATAATTTTTGCAATTAATCAATATTTGTTTTAATTTGTCAAGTGTAAGACTAGTAGATGATGTCCTGTTTCCCGTTCTTATGAATTTTCTCGAGTCTACTTCTGCTTTTTTATATCGCTACTTTATTGTTAATTTTGGCTACTTTTGCCCTACTTATGGATAATTTAGCTGCCATCCATGGTCTTTGACCATTTGAAAGGATAGTATTATTCACTTACGGATCCTCGTGTAAATATTATCATCTGCCTGATTATCAATCATTATACATTGGAAATTCGTGAACAACTTCTACCATGTGTGATATAATGCCAACAATTGCAGAAGATGGCAATTCAAGTCAAGGTGATCATGACTCGCAAGTTGGTGCTGAGGGAAATACTGTTGAAGATATGCTATTAAGCATTTTGGACGAACGTGATCGACTGATGGAGAACTTCCAAGAAGCGCAGGAACAGTTAAATTATTCACAGAATCGATTAAGTGAACTTGAACGGGAAAAGGATTGTCTTTCGCGCCAACTCCGTGAGAAGGTTCCCGAGGTCCGTGGTTTACTTTTTCCGATAAGCAAATGTTTATTTGCTTCGTGCTACATTCTGCGATACGGCAAATACCACTAAATATGCGTTTTGTGAGGGCGCGTCCTAAAAATATGTTACCATCTTTATAATTGTTGCAATTAATTGCGATTTTCAACCCTATTAATTCATACACTTGGCACCTCTAATAACCCTTTCAATCGAAGTTGCTATCCTTTATTTACTGGCTCGTGGCTTTTTACTATACATTTATCATCTATGTTTAGTTACATGCGCTTTGTAGAGGTAGAAGTTACAAGTGTCTTATTTTGAGTAAGCATTTTCAAAAATCATTTCATACTTGATAGAAGGTTCAAAAATTAAACACACTTTTGTTTGCTATGAACTTGTGTTTAGGATATTGCGGTACTAGCCAAAGATGTTCAATTTTACCGAGATCAGTTACTGGAACGTGAGGATGAGATTCAAGAATTGAAGGCTGAAAGAAGCAACACTCGAGTAAGGCAGACGTCGTCCTTACTTCATTGTTCATAGGTGTAAAGAAAATAAGGCCGTTTTTTATTATTGCTGCTGCAGTTTGATCGAGCCACTAGTAAAGCGTTAGAATTGCCTTCCAAGAAATAAAAGTGAGGTTTCTTAGGTAATTCTCCTGAATCTTCATAAAGCAGTTGTTTTATTGTCCATCATTGTTTTATGTACCAGTAAAGATCAGATACTAGTTAAAAATACACTTTTTTATGGAGTGTTTGTCAGCAAAGTTCGCCTAATAGCATTAGTATTAAAGATGATGGATGCACACACTAAATTTTACTAGTGGCAAACTTAGCAGTCGTGGGAGGTGAGGTTATTTCAGTCATGCGCTTAATTGTCTAGCTGTTGTTGGAACATTTGGAGTGTCTGGTGGCGCGACACGAGCGTTCGCTACGGATGACAGTGGTAAAGCGGCAGATGTCGAGTCCGGGCGGGGTGAGCTCCGAGGTGGAGGTGTTGAAAGCACTGAAGTCGCTGTTCGAGCACCATAAAGCCATGGATACGCGTCTGCGCGAGCGCCTTCGTGCTGCTCTCGAGCGCGCCGCTCAACTGGAGGAGGAGGTTCGTGCTTCTGCCTCAGACCGCGCTACCCTCCGCGAACAACTGGCTGCCGCCCTGGCCAACATCGCCGCCAGCACAAGTATGATCTTTCCAGCCTTCTCCTTGCAACCAACCGAGCTTTGTATCCAGATAGCTCAGAAACTGATAGCCTTACGTTTTTCTTATCGTAATGACGTTCCTCCAGCACGGGGTTTTTTCTTACCAAGTATCCTTTTTCAAATACCGGCCAATCTTTACAACTAACTACATTACCTTATTTTCACTAAGCCAGCGCACCATCTGGACTGGTACCTCACTCTACCCTCCGTCATATAGTTATCCATGGAGCTGAAGCCAAATCCTTCCCTTTTTGTAATCGTTTAGAAGGTCACTTCAAATTCTACTTGCTACTTGTTCGACCAAATGGTTGTATTAAAGGTTACCGAAATTCTTCAAAACGGCATGTTGACCCCCTGTTCCTCTCTACTTTTCGTCAGCTGAATCTGTTTGCAACCGACCTAGAATATTGTCTACCCCTGATGATAGTGCTCCACGCCGTCAATGATGATGCGTCTCCGTCTAGGTAGACGCCGCACTTAACTGTCAGCACAGCTGATTTCACCGCCTGCAGTACTTCAGATTTCATTGGCTATATACTCGAGCGTGTTACCTTTTCAATGTAATTAAAGCAAGAAAGTTAGCAGTCACTGTTATGTGAATAACAGTGTAGTGTTTGATGGATGTGGTTTTTTCATCATTTTAATGTAGCTTCCTAGCATTGCAGCTAAATTTGCCTTAACTATAAAGGTGAACTTCTGTATCCGTGTTTGAATTTCTCATAGCGCCTCTGAAGCCACTTTAAATGGTTTGAACCCACGTAGTACCTGCGCCTTGAACGTTGAAATATGTTTTTGATGTTCTATTTTGGGGTAGGCAACCTGTCCTACTTACCATGCGTGTTCTTCAGGTTTATCTTTTATTGTGTCACTTATGGGGTGGTAATGTATTTCAGAAATGCCAAACACCTACATTTCAGTATTCTGTAGTTCGCGCGGGATCCAATCACCACTGATGTAATGAATATAGTGTAATTTGGTGCATTCATTCCCGGCCGTTCCTTGTCTGTTTGTCTCATTCAACATCAACTTTGAATATTTGATAATAGGATGGGCCCAATGGTCTTGTTTGTATGAAAGATCTTTGCTAGACTTTGCCTCTATTTATAACTTATTACAGATAGGGGACTACGTGATCAGTCCATTCTTACGCCATTTAATTCTTGTAATAATTCTCATACTTGTCGAACCCATATTATTCTTAATCTCGGAACTTAAGGCTATGGTTGACGCAAATTCTCCGATAACAGAAACAGTTATCCTATCACTTGAAGTGGGCAGAGAAAGTTTATCGGCAGGGAGCTTGGCTGCGTCATGTGGAATAGCAACACAACATACGCAAAAAGGGCGACGATTTATGTTGCAAATAAAAGTCAACCGCTTGCTATTCCTGCATGCTAATGTAGTGTGTTTAAGTCTTAAAATGCGTGTTGACATCTCCACAGGATGGATCAGCGCACACATGCACATGCGAGGACATATGAAAACAGTGGAGATCCTGTTTCTCGCCCGCCCGATCATTCATTTTTCCGTAATTTTTCTGAAATTGCTGGCACTCAGTGTGAATTGCTTGATGAAATACGTTAAATGGACCCAGCCCGTGAATTAACTGAATGTTTGAGTGTACTATATCTGAATTTGGCTATTTTCTGATGCGATTTTAGATTCTTGTTTATTTTCGTGACAATTGACATCGCACACCGCTTCAAAGTTCCATTGCTCTTACCTTTCAGGTATAGTTGTAAGAGCTGCAAATAGTTTTGTGAGTATAAAGTAATGATTACCAGCAATGGATCAAGTCACTGGTTTTGGATTTCTACAAAAAAACTTTGATATCTTCATCCAAGTAGCTGGTTCAATCATGGCAAACGGCTGATACTGTCCCTTAGTCTCATAACCCGCCTTCAGGCATAGCTGAAAAATTCTACGCCTTTATACTCACTATGGGTTGGACTTGCAACCTTATAGATGTAATTTCCTCATTGTTGTTGCAACATGCGCAAGCTATGCGTTATGCTCGTTTGGAATGGCGATGTCCGCACGCATCTGGACGGTTTCTCGTGGACAAACCGACCGCTGCCCTTGCATTCAAATTAGTCACGCTAAAAGACAAACCTGGGTCTGTTCAACTTATTGGTCGCTGCCCCCTATTAGGGAAACGCGATGGGATGAGAAGTCCCATTTTTTTTAACACAGGCCACCCCGTAATTGAGGACCTTCGCGAGCAGGCACATCCTACGCCCAAGGCCTGGATATGAACGGGAAAGTGCTTTACAAGTTGTTTCCGTCTTTATGGATTGTTTTTTCTTTGACGGCGTAAAGTGGATAAATTTACTCGTAGGTACGATGTCACTTTGAGCCCATGATTAAAGTGTTAAATTAGTTAAGAGGCTCTAGTAAATAAGAAAACAGTTAATGGGTTAGACCTTGGATAAATCTTCACGACTTCTAGCACACATTCATAAAGCATCCACTTCTTGTTGGTACAATATGCACATCTGGTGGAAGGGAAGGGGAGTTTAATAATCCATCATGCTAGTTCGACTTTCTGCCGACAAAGACGGTAGATGAGAAGTGAATACTTAACCTAGTTAAGATAACTTTGCAACGGTTTTGGTCAGAATGCGGCATACGGTGTATGATATTAGAGGTATATTTGAAGCAATTTTTGAAATGAGGGTGATATTTTCGGCTGAACTCCCATATTTTTTTGCGTTTACTGTTTAATGGGGTTCAAGCTCCCTTCTCTTTGATGTTCGCCGAAGAAACTTTACTTTATACTCAGTAACAATTGTTGTTATTTTCAACGGGACTTTTGGCAATGGAAGCAGTTATGGGTCGCTTCAAACCGCTCGCGATTTCGCACCTAATTTGCAGCATTAATTCGCGCTTGATTGGGACATGGATGGCATCACAACCATACTTGGTTTTGGTAGACCACGGGCGAGTTGCAAATCAGCTTAAAAATCCACTTCCTACGATTTTATCTACTCGCCACAACCTACTTAAGTCAGCCTAGGCCCACCTCCAATGCTTAAATTCCCATCTTTCACCCATCCCGTCATGTGGAATGACCTAAATTTCCCGTTTTATTTTGCCAGATTTGGGCGCCCCAACTCTTACACTTACATCACTTCAACCACGTTGAGGTGCGTAAACCATCAAAGGAAACTGCTGCATGCTATAACAATCCCTCTCTAAACTCGCGAATAAAATTTTTAAATTAGGATGGAAGTTGGCCGGTTCTGCAAGGCTAAGTGAATAGACTCCAGTAACTATCTGTTTGATTTTATAGGGATATGCTAGTCCAGAGCTTTAAATTTCTAGGCTTTGATAAATACATAGCTTAAAACCAAAACTGTGGATTTATCTTGTGCCAAATTAACTTATGTACCGATGAAATAAAAAATGAGCGAATGCTTAATTGAAATTGTACACATGTCAAGTTGCACAGCTTACACTTAACAATTTCAAAGAAAATAATTAAAAATCGTAGGCTGATTATTACCAAGGAAAGTATAAAAGCGTCTTCTCGGATGCACGTGATTTAAATGAATTGCCTCTGAAATTTTCTGAGCTCTTCTTTGCGACATTGTCACTGAGTTCTCAATACGTCACGCCTATTTCATTACAAAGGGCGCAACGGTTTTGAGGAATTCATGACAGGATAATGCAAAACAAGGCGAAAGTGGCTCGATTAATATAATCGGGTTTCTTAACCTACAGATTTGACTTAAGAGCATTTCCATTACAGTAGTTTGATGGAATAAGCACATATTTGTCATCCTTATTGCAGGCAATGGTGTAGCGACCGACCCTGAGTGCAAGAAGGACGCTGTCGACTCAGTGGAGTCACAGCCTCCCGGTGGTCCGCCCGTGAATGGTGCGGAAGTGGGAGGCGGTGGGAAGGAGGGAGGAAATGGCGAAGGCACCAACTACGCTGCCGTCGCCGCTGCGGCCGCTGCCAGCGCTGCTGCGACCGAGCGCAAACTCGTTGAAGTGACGGAGCGGGCACGTGACCTGGAATCCACCATCACAACACTTCAGAAGGAGCTTGGACGTGCACAGGATCAAGTGTGTCTCTAAGCCGTTTATTTCCTCCTGTCATAGTATTCTCCAACCATGCTAAATTCCGATTTGGCACTCGTTGATAATTATTAACAGTAACGCAACTGTAGCTTTTTTTTTAAATTTCTGAGGCTGTCAATCAAGTCTTCTTTGTGAGAAGAGTCAAAAGTACTGTCGCCTGTCTGAGTTGTGCTTGTCAAATATTGTTGTTGAATCGTACTTCATATTTTGTAGTCATCAGATACTTAATGCTCCTCAGCATCTCTACCGCCTGCATTGTGTTTAGCAATAACATGGTCCCATCAATACAGGTTATCAGCAACTTTTTGGTTACAAAATTTTTTGACGAATGTTACTCTCGTTGTTGCTTGGGTCAACTTTGTGGTCCACCAATGACCATGTGTGAGAGGCAACATTGGCAACACTTAGCCATGTTTTTTTGTCCTTCCTTCCCCATGCGAAGGTGGCGCGACTGCAGCGGGACTTGCGCGAGTCGGAGGCGCAACGCGAAGATCAGGAATCTCGCATCTCGACCTTGGAGCAGCGCTATCTTGCTGCTCAGCACGATGCCACCGCGGCCCACGAAAAGGCCAATCGCATCGACGCCGATCTTATCAGTCGCGACTCCGAGCTCAAGCAGGTAACGCCCTTTGTCACTGCAACAACACTCATCTCACTGCTTTTTTGATATATCCAAATTATGATCGGTTGGAGTTTAAAACGGTTTCTCCAGACCATGATTATGATTTGTTTTATTGAACTTCCTCAGGGTCAGGTCGTAATTATCATTTCTCACACCAATTGACTAAGAGCATATAAAAGTTAGACAGCACAAGCGATTACATGGGTTGTGAAAACTTATCATAAGGTTATTTGTTTCTTTCATGTTTTTGCGTTCTCTAAGACAAATGTCCTTCATATTTAGAAGAAATGCTCGCCACCTTTTTTAAGCATTCGAGCATTATTAATCAGGGCTTACTGTTCTCGATCATTTTACCCTTGCAGTACATTACCGATCCGGTAGAAATTTTGTAACCAATTTGATCAGCTTGCCCGAGGTTTACCCACAAAATAGCCACTTCTGTGGAATGAAACCTTCAATTTGTGGCCAAGATTTGAGGATCTATCCTTCTTAAGTATAAAGTAGATTATAGAGACATGCTAATTTTATAATGAACGCAGAAAAAGTGTGGCCTTTTTAAAAATGAAACCATTGTTTGCGAAAGTTTTCCTCCTCACATTTGTACAGAGGCCCTTTTGTAAATACACATTCACAGGATGAAGGGATGAAAAAAATACTTGGAGGCTGTGGTTTTGTATTATTCACCGAGGCTTAGTGACTGGCGCCCATTCCCATTTTAATGCTTTGCGGTGGAGACATTCCACCAGGTGTGGGTGCGGTAAGCAGTGCAGAAAAACAGTGATACTAAAAAAGCAACTTGGAGTCTTGAAAGTCTCCACAAGTGGTTTGTCATCACGATAGTGGATACTTTTTCTTGATACGACATTCAATTTCTCCATGTAGGGCATGCTGTGCTAGATTCGGCACCGAACCTAAGAACGCGTGGTCTTTAGGTCATTAAGCCTAGCCGCCGAAGGATGAAGACCGTTTAAGTTCTACGAGGCTAGATCCTCACCTACCGAAACGGTTTTTATAACATTGGTGTAGTACACTTTAGCATGGGCGGTTGCTTTAACAAAGACCGGTGTTAATTATCTTCACTTTTTGCTTCAAATGCTGCAAAGGGGTTTTCTTGCAGTTCTTCAATTTGACTTTTTTAATGAGGTATCACTTGCTATCGTTATGCGGTAAGAAACTTTTTTATTAACGAGACTTTGATTTCACGATTCTGCTGAAGGTTTTGGCTGCAATGTATTCTGATCAAATGCATTCATCGTAATAATCGTATGCAGAATACCAGAAATACTAGTCGTGCGAGGCATATCAAATTATTCTATTAATTACTAATATACCTTTTATGAATGAGGAGTACATTGAATGAAGAAGAAAACCTAAAGAAAAGTGTGATGAGAGGTTGTGTAATTTTGCGGAAGCAAGAATCTTAACCTAACTTCAGCTTAGCAACATGCATTGGTTATATTCTCGCATGAGGTGGGAAGAAATTAGATAGAATATGCATCGTGAAACCAACAGATACTAGTTCACTTCTTTTCTAGTCTGAAGAGCGGGTGAATCATCTAAAGGTAGAAGTGGACATGCTGCGAAACAAAAACGAGGACTTGCAAGTGATGCTGGAAAAATACCAGAGCCAGGAGGGCGATCAGCCGGCCCCGGTGGCTTCAGGCAGCGCTGCCTCCCCAACAGATCCCTCTGCTGTAGCCTCTGTCCCCTCCGCCACGGAGGCCAGCGAGCTGCAGGAGTCAAGCATCCGAGCGATGCGCGCCGAGCTAACCCAGGCCGATGACCGACTGCGTGAGGTGCAAGCCGCCATGGCTGAAACCCAGGCGGAGCTTCAACGCGCCAGACAGCGGGAGAGACTCAATGAAGATCATAGTGCTCGTCTCACTGCTACTGTGAGCTTCTTTCTCACTTGCTCTCCCCCCCTCCCCCTCCTATTTCCCCTTTTTCTTCATGGAAAAACACTTCATTTATCTGGGAAAGAAACGAAAAACACATGCTCCTTAATATCTTTCCTATGTGCTAAATAAGCCAAGAAGTTAAAAAATTATAGTTCATCTCAAATAGCCTCTGCCTACTGCCCTATAGATGCTTGAATGCACCTCCACCTTGTTCACTCAAAAATGTAGTTGCAGTGATTTGCAAATATTGTTCGATGAAAATCTACTCAGCAGTTGGTTTAATGATTATATCAGTTGATGTCGTAACTACCTATTCAAAATTGCTTGCAGCGGAGTAATTATTCTCCATCTCCTTTCTCAATGTCGCTTTTGCGCAATCGCCGTGTGGCTGTTTCGGTGTTAGATGGAGATCAACGCTTCCATCTAGCCAAGTGTGAGTGCGCATTGTACATGGCTGCATCACCCTGGCAGTTTAGCATTTGATGAAGAAAACGACCTTTTGGCGTATTAGGCTGTCTTGTCATGCCTTGTCGTAGATCTTCAAGCGTATCCTCTTGCTGAAAGGTCGGGTGCCTGAGTAAAACACCTATGCGGCAGTATATATATTCTGCACACAATCAGAAGCTGTTACTCAGATTTTCCGAAAATGTCTCCCTCTATACTTTCCGGTAGCTTTAAAATTTCAAATTTGTATCCCTATCATTGCAAAGTGAAGCGGAAGTGAACAATTATTTCAGCACTTCTCTTTATTATCAGGTGATCTCCCTTCGATGCTTTTAATACATTTCCTTAAAATTAAATTCCCCCACATAAAACCTAGATTTTTATTCGGTTCTTTTTAATTTCTAGCCTTTAACAATGTAACAACATTTAAAACAAGTAACCCGTGCACAGGAAATACCAAATCTCACTGATAGCCGACATATTTACCTGACGAGTTGGCAGCGACCCTTTACTGAGATTTTCTAACTATTGGAGAATCGATGGTTAATTCTCACAAATTCTTTTACACGTTGTTTATTTTTACGGTACAATGCAATCTGATTTTTCTTAAATTCACATCATTATTCATAATCTTTAGCTTTAACTCCCAATCATCGAGCTAATCCCCTTCCCCCGCTGTTGCCACTTCTAAGCTTCCCATTACATAAATGGAGAAAATAAATTCACAATCCCAAATTGAGATTGATTGGGCGTTCAGTCATTAATACCCGTACTTTTCACCTCTCACTGTGAGGTAAACGGCAGTGCCTTAAATGTCATGCATGATGTACAGCAAATCTATTACTCAAATGTGGAATTACGTATCTCCACTGAAATTTTACTATAAGACCAAGTAGGGATATTCCTACGTACTTTTGGATGACATTCCTCTATGCTGTGTCACTAATTTACCCACTCTCAAGGCGTGAGCCATTCGAAATCTCCTTGCTGGGCTTTAAAGCCTACGCATGACAGAATGGTCCATTAAATAAATGCGGCTCGTGAGGACAGATTTTGCTTCAAGTATCAAGACCTGTAGTCACTGGCGGACCAAGCGCGACGCGTTGTGCCACCATCTCCTCTGCCTGGGTTTTAGCACACTTTACCGGCACACCTGAAAGTTGTCTTTGTATGCACACGACTCATTTCCATAAGGCGAAAGCAACTGGTCGAGGGACTCGATAAGCAGCAGAGACCACCGGAGTTGGATAAATACATGAATGAGTTGGGATTTTTAAATGGAACTGGATTTCGGTGCCGATATTGGGTCATGTCTATGCCTAAGTGGCATTAACTATCTATCGTGCCGCATGTTAGATATGTTTTGTGTTTTCCAGAAAAGATGCTCAGGCGTACTATTACTCTGTGTTTAATAAACAACTTATACTCTACCTTAAAAATATAGAAAAATTTATCTTTAGTGCTTGAACTTGTATTTAGTAACTCTTTGGCAAGACCGTTGTGAGGTAAATATACTCTGCATTGACTGAATTGTGAACGTTCTGAGGGCAAATGTCCAAATTTGTTACATCCGGACCTTAAAATTTGCAATTTTTTATTTGAAAGTGAATAGTTGTCAATTATGTCGATGCCAAACATTTAAGCTTCTCAGGTGCCAAATGAAACCTGCTGACGTCACAAAGTTCGACTGTATTTCGTTATTCACTGATTTTTCTGTCTTTGACTTGAAATAACGAGTTGGATTGGAGCAGTGGTAAAGATAATCCTGATTTCTTGAGAAGAACGCCTGAAAACAACATCCTACCAATCTACTTTTTGGGTTTATGTTAGCTAGCTGTTTATTTAGAGGTCCTATTCAAGCCCTGTGTTCTCTGGCATTTGAGCATTGGCGTTTAATTGATACGTTATGCACCGCTTCTTGTGTCCAGGTCGACAAACTTTTGCTGGAGTCAAACGAACGCCTGCAGACGCATCTGCGGGAGAAGATGGCTGTGATGGAGGAGAAAAATCAATTGACAGCGGAGTTGGATCGCGTTCGCCGTCAGATGGAGTCTATTCAGTCGGAACGCGATCGACTGGTGAATGAGTTGGACCGGCTTCGGCGTCAAGCCTCGCTAGCGGAATCCCTTGACCTGCCCAATCTCAACAGTGAGTTCGCACTTTTGTTGATTTTATAGATTCAAACATTTAACCTTTTCTCTGCAAAAACTCATTTTTATTCGAGCAGAATGTGTCACTAGCTCGGGAATTATAAAACTAGATGTATTTGATCTAACATTTCCTTTTCAACAAAATATCTCACACTAACTCGTACTCATTATTTACATAAGAGAAAAGTATCCTATAAGTGTCTACTTTTCCTTTTCTGACGGAAGTCACTCAAAGATTGTCAATTTCTTTGGTTATGCTTTTAGTGATTCCTCTTGTTCTTAAAGCTCACATGAGTTGAGGAGTAAAGAATGGTGTCGGTGAAGAACAGTGTTTAACACAAAAAGATAGTTAAAAATGAATCCGAAGGGAAGAGAGCAAGGTGATTTTGTACTCCTTGTGGCAAGTGCCGAATTATGGGATTAAAATGACGGTGGGCACTACCCATTTGACCGGCACAAATCCCGTTCAAATGGCCAGAAGCATTACGTCTTACCACTTGATGGGTCTTTCGGAGCTTGAACCTATCACGGCAAATTCATAGGCTCTCGATGGATAGAATGTGCCAATATCTGCTTCAGTGATTGTATTCAGTTAAAAGATTGCTGAAGTGAATAGTCGTTTCCTTTCATTATCTTCACATCCCAATTAAACTAGTGGTCGCTTGGATAATGTAATCATCATTGCGATACTGAACGCATCCTTGTGGAATTTTTCTTGTTGGAGAAAGTGTCAAATTGTGAAAAGCCTATTCGTTTTGTTGTGCCAGTAAATCCTTTCTCGGAGGTCCAAAGGTAGCCAGCATATCTTAGCCCACATTTTTTCAAGCGCACAAGTTAGTTGCGGTGGTTATACTTGGCAGTGGTTAGCATTTTTTTAGACTATCCGTCTTTAAAGTACTGTGCTAAAGTCCACAGGGTGGGGCTTTGGCTTAAAATAATCACTTTACCCCTCAAGACTGTCATAACTGGAATGTTCACTGTCTTGTAGCAGTTTGGTGCACGCCGGGCACCGTGCGGCCACAGCGCGCGTCCCTGTTGCGCCGACCTGCGAGCCTCTACCTTTCAGCCCACGAAAAACCTGGCCCACTAAGTTGGCGCCAGAAGAACTGTTTCGGGGGATCTGCGATCATACCTTCGAAGTGTTCGTATTAGCCACTTTTGTGCACCGCTTCTCCCTTATTTTTTGTGTGCTTTCCTGCCTAATTTATAATTGCACTAACGCTATCTGCTTGCTCCCTTCCAAATTGCCCCAGAATCGCAAAATTTTTGAATCCTTAATTAACTCACAGAAATCCCGTAGGGTGCACTCCAATTAAAAGTGGTAATTGCAAGGAAATCCAAGATGTAAATAGAGCCTGCCTGCTCCCAGACCTGCCTGGAAGTGGATCTCTGTGCTGCACATTCCTGCGCCATTAATTTTAAATGCCGTCTTTAGGGGTTCTTAAGATGTGATTTTGTGCGATGGATTTGTTTAACCCCCTCCTTGATGTGATTTCCAAAGGAGCACTTGATTTCGCCTCACAGGTTAATGCCTCGGTGCGGATTAGCCTGTTTTGTAAAACCGGTCGAGTGTATTTATTTATTGTTAAAATGCTTGCAACTTGCCGATAAATTTTAGCTTACATGTGAACAATGTTTCAGTTACCGTGTGAAATGTTGTGATATTCGTGAGCCCGATTGGTTCATTCTTTTACCCAAAATAACAGGTGCCATTTTGTTGAATCAGACAAAATTATGGTTCTCAGTAATCAAAATATAGCCAATTTTGACACGACGTTCCAAAAATTGGAATGAAACATCACTTTTGCTCTGTTATTCGGTGGAAACGCTTGATGTTTACCTCCGAGTTACACATAGTGCCCATTCATTGTTCTTAGTACTTTTCAAGAAGTTGTGCCGCTGACCTTGGAGGTGGTCTCTGTGTCGTTTTTCATGCTATCCATGATAGTTGTCAGTTCGTTAAACGAAGGGAATCTTGGCTTTCAGGAATATTATTTGGTCCTTCATAAAGCACTGCCTTCAAGTGGAATCGACTGCCTTTCTTGAAATGACATCTGTTTTTTTTTGAAAATCTCCTTTCTTGCATAATTGATGCAGAAGCTCATTTTCGTTATCAGGCTATTTTGTTAAAGTACACTTTTTCATCCCCATTCATCTGTAACAAATGTTTTGTCAGTGAAAAATTTAATATCTACAAGTCAAAATAACCCTTATTTTTATGTGACTCCCGTGAAAGCAACACACTTATGTTGAAATGGTTTTCATCCTAAGTCATTGAAGCTCAGCCTATAAAATTTTAGCCTACAGGATCCAACGAATTTTACCAACAGCGTCCATTTGTGTCTGCCAATCTTGCGGTGACTGAGAGGTGTCCATGTTTACTTAGCCCAGATGAGGAATTGGAGATTTTCTGTCTTTTGCCCTTCAAAACACGTAAATTTTGGTCCCTTTGATTGACCTCCTAGCTGATGCTTGATTAGGAGTTTCAAATTTCAGGCACACAGCGAATAGGGTAGGAGAGGCGGTTGCAAAAAATTGGTGGGACGTTACCAAGTAAGTCTAGGTCCATTGATAGACTTATCTTTCACCAAACGGTATTTGGATTTCGGTTAGAGCATTAGTTGAATTGTGACGAACTTGTACCACCTAAGGAGTCCTTCACTTCAAACTCTTGCTCTTGGGGGTGAAACAAATTTACAACGCATGCATTTTTTCGAAGCATCAATGATTGGAGGCTCGCAGATTCTATTACATATTTCTGGACTGCATATAAGAAGGAGAATTCATCTTTAAGTAAGGATCTGGAAAGTTAATTGTTAGTTGCTTGGTGCTTGAAATTGAAATTCGAGGTGACACGCCCAACGTTGCGTATACTAAGTGCAATGCTCCACACTAATTTGAAATATTAGTTAACCTTGTCAGCAGATGAGACCGGTTTTATTCTTATCACTTGCTGCTCTATTTGGTTAGGTTCAGTAAATAATTAGACTAAAATTCGTGTAAGCGTTATCTTTTATGAGCATCAGACAAGCCCGCCATTACGCCAGACGAATCAAGACACGGGTCATACGAATAGGACATTTAAGGTAAGGGCAGCTACTGATGTGACCTAAAAGGTGGAAATGGCCATGCCATGTTGCACAGAGGGGTTATCTTTACGTTGCCAGATTAATAAAGTTGATTACGTCTACCCTTTCGCCGCTTTTATAAATGAAGTCTAAGTGTGAGTAATTAGCATGCAAAACTCTGGAATTTTGAGTTACTTGATTTCTTACTTGGCTGTCTCAAGCATTTCTGTACCAACCGCCCAATTTTGTCCCCTTCAAGGCGATATGCTGCTTGTGACTGTAGATAGGTATGTAAACTCACATTGTCGTTTAGACGCGAATAGCGTCTTCTGTATACCATATCACATCATCATCAAGTCGAGGCCATCGTAATGTTGTCATAAAGTGATGCTAAGGATTTTTCCAATTCCTAATCGTGTGCAATCTAAGGCGAAAAACCGAAATCGTGTGCACGCCCAGTCGGTGGATGCCAAATGAATCTACTGCGAGTCATATTCAACATCCATCTTTTCCGATTACCACCGTTCTGGCCACCACATACACCTTTTCAAGGTTACACAGGCACTTCCGGTGAGGTTTTCAACACACTTTCGCGATGATTTGTTTCTTTCCTCCCACTCGTCATACACAAATTTGTTGCTACGGTTTGTTTTGGATGACAAGGCACAGTTACATGACTGCTTGATCGTATTTTACCATATGGGAAAGGTCCTTATGGCCTTAGTGGCCGCACTGTTGAATATTGTCGCTGCCGCCGCATCGTTGAGGCCTAGGTGTGCTGCTTGTCCAAAAACGAAGTGCCACGTTTGTACGCGTGTGTGTGTGTCTGCACTTGTGTGCCGCCGACCCTCGATTTCTCACATCGCATCAGCGGGCGGCTACGGATATACGTGTCTAGGCTTACAACAACACACACGTACGCACTCGCGTGCACACACGTGTCCATCTGTGTCGACCTCTTACACACACCCACACACGCATGCATACACTATCTGATGTGCATGCGTGTGTCCAGCAATCGATTGGCCGCTTACGCGTATCCGGTGTGTCTGCGGGTGTGCGTGTGTGTGTGTGGGTATCTTTGCACTACAGAGAATACGGTATCTATTAGCTGCTGACGCATCTCGATGATGCCGTTCGCGTAGGGTTGGCCTTAGTCACCGCTTGGCACCGCTGACCCTTGCTTGCAACACGCTGTGATTCACTAGCAGCGATGGTTTTTTGACACACCTTAAGGACACTGCTTTCGCGATCGCACTCGGTGGCGGTCTACTACTGCTTTTTTAGGGAAAGCTGTGCCTTCTACAACTACGACCTAGTTTTGGGGTTAGCTTCTTAATCCCATTTTGTGGATCAGATGTTTAAATTTGCCCGAAAACTTGATAAGTAGAACTGGCAAAACACGTACAGGCTTTCGGGACCCTATAAGTTGATCTTCCTCCTGAAGTTGAAAAGCTATTTTTAAAGTCGCGGTAAAATTGAGTGTCACACCCTTTACTCAGTAAAATGTGAAGGTCTAATTCTTCAACTCACATTTCGATCTATCTTAGTTTGCACAACGGCAGTATATTATAGATGGATCCGGTAGAACGAGTTCTGTCAAGAAGCTTATACCATTTGATACGGATTTTTGCATGAAGACAGTCAACTGTTTCACTTTGCAGTCGATAGCGTCAAAGTGGCAAGCCATTGGGTGTTCTTATCTAGTGCTATAGCTTTTCCAATGTCGACGTACGGAATGGCTAAATATATTCCAAATGTTTTGTTACCGGATGCGAAACCTCAAATCATGTTCCCTTATGTTGAGGTACGGGTTCAAATACTATTTACGCACATATGCGCCATCTTTTGTGGGGTCATAAATAGCATCTCGCAAACATGGCCAATCCTATGCTGTTCTCTCCTTTCGAGACTGACTCTTAAACACTGCGAAAACACGGAGCTTATCATTGGTGTCAGATGCAGGCTGTAGTAGCAGACGCGTGTTTCCTGCAATTTTACAATGCATGAATGAAGATTTCTCGTTCAAAACTTGCTAAGCCCATCACACTTTGTTTTAATGCGCTGTTAATGTTTTTTGTGCAAAAAAAGTCGGTCCCTTACTTTCGACCTTTCTATGCGCCTTCGAATCTGATGCACATAAATTTTATCAATTAATTTACTTTTATTAGGGGACATGAACAACATTGAAAACCTACTGGTTTTCACCGCCACCAAAGTTATCGGGTTATTGTTAAAACTAGATTTTTTGATTAGACATGTAGTAATCTGCCTGAAGGTTTTCGAAGTCCGGCAACTCACATTTGGACATAGATGTAAAGGGGAACTTCTTTACACGCATGTTCAATCATATTGGAATAGGCTGTCGTTAATATCGGCGATTTCCAAAAGGAGCGGGAAAAAGTGTAATTTGATCATTTCCATTCTATTTACCTGGAGTTGTGTGATCCCAGATGGTTAGTAAACACAATGGCTTATTTATGCACGATTAAAAAAGCGTGTACTCCCCATTCACAGGGCTTACCATAATCCTCCTTAAATTCGATTTTCTGTCTACTTAAACCGATCGGTTGTAACTCCCTCTTACCCGTTTATCACTTCACTCACGCACTATTTAGGCTTGCTGAACTAGTGCCCTTCTTCGCATTTTAGACGACAGCTATTCTGGCTTCGGCAGTGGTTCACTTGCCAGAAACTCATCGCAAGTTAAAAATGTAAGTTTTCTTTTCAATTCTTTATCAGCTACAATTCTTGTTCTAAAGAAGGTATGCTCTCAATAATTACACTCCCTCAGGTAGAACATGAATGGCTGTTGTAGGTGCGTAGTCCGAATGTGCATTGGTGAAATGTAACCATGGTAATGCTGATGCAATCCGAAGAACATTAGGTTGGCCTCCCGGTGCAGCTACAAAGTCTCAAAGACTGCATGTAGCAATGCTTGAGTATGTGACATTCAAACCCACGAAATTCGAATGCAAAGGTGACTTTTGGGATGAATCATCCGTTGGTAGGAGAATAACGCGTCACAAACCCAGTTCGGGACTCACTTCTTCCAAGGAAGTGCGACATCAGTGTCACCTTCCCTGCGCAAGTTGGAAGGCGATGTCTTTAATCCCCTCTGTGCCTCGCGATGCTAAATTTAAAAACATCGAATCTGCTTATTTCCGCAAGGATGTGAAGGATCAAATAATTCGGTCTCCTAATGGCATAGATATTTTTAAAATAAGCTGAGTCCCAACATTATTGGAATACTTCCCTTGCTTCCAGAGTCTAAATAGGCAATATATTATCGACGAATGAAAAGTCAATTATGTACGTTCCAGCTAGTATGAGAGCTAGAGGAAGACATGTTGGCGTCTTGACTTACGTCACATATTTTGCGACAAAAAGTATCGTAGATGATTATCCTTCCATTTGTATGCTTAAGTCGTTTTGTTCATTTATTTCCCACTGATGTGGATGCAGGGAGTTGTTAGAAGGAGTCTGGTCAATTTTTAGTGTTTCTGTGAACCAATAAGCGTGAGCTTTGCTACCGCATTGGAAAGAGGAATTGAAAGGAGACGAATATAGTCATTTTCAAATAACCTTTTTGCTTAATTAAAGGGCTTCAAAAAATGCTAAGTAAAAATGTTTGCGGGGCTGATTATTACTGGACTCAAGATGTTATTGTCCTTTTATTTCGCACTTTAGAGTGTGGATGGTCCGACCAATGTCATTAGCCCTTCAACTGCCGTCTCAGCGAACCTCTCCGCCGATAGCAAGCCCACCGCGAACTCTCAAAACACCAGCGACGCCCAGGCGCTTGCATTACTAATTCAGGATCAATTGGATGCAATCAACAACGAAATCAAACTAATTCAGGTATGGCGATATGACTTTTATTAACACCAACCGCATAATATCGAGATGTGCCACCCGACGTTATACATGAATAATGCGCGGAGGTACGACGTATTGACGATCCTCGGGGCCGTTATAAAGACATTTCTATAATGCGAATTTTCAAAAGCCATATGTGATATTTGTCTTAAACAGATGTTAAATTGAAGAGCATCGAATGCACAAAAACCTTCTTTCGTACCTAGGCAATCATCGAATAAATAGTCAAGATTCACCAAAAATTAACGAAAAACCTGTTTTAATGCATAGTTTCCGTTCCACTCACATCTCGCATCTTACTGCTGATTTTTCTGTCTAGCAGTATCCGTTCGATTAGTTGAATTTCGGTGCAGCAAATTTGACGACAAATATTTTATTCTCGAGAAGACTCTTGACAATCATCAACTTGCACGAGACGCTGCTGCATTCTGATGCCATGAAAATGAACCATTAAAATATATTCCATGAGTTTGTATGGTGATTCCAGTATTTGCATTGCGTGTTTTTTCTATCAATGAATTCACTAATTTTGGCAAAATACAACCTTTCCGTGACTTCTCCCCAAGCCAATGAGTAAGCTTTAGTGGGTTGGGAAAAACGCAAGTATTGTTATTTTCATGCTCTGTTTCGCTTTCCCATTCCTCGTTGACACCAAACATTTGCTACGCTCGGTGCCATCGCGAAACATTTGAGAGCTTCTGGAAGGGTAAACTGAACTGAGTTTTGTCTCTGCGCAATGCCGGGAACTAAGTAGATTTGGCCATCCGTACCTTTTTTTCACATTCATCTCAGATATTGGGATTTTAACGCCGGAGAGTTTGTATGTATTGTTATTTAAAAGAAAAAGATGGTAATCGGTGTTCGAATTCCCTTTAACCCCTTTTTGGAAGCACAAAACGAACGGTTCTTAAAAATGGAAGCCGCTCAAACATCATACCGATTCGCTTCTTATCCGCATCGGAGGGCAAACAGCCACCATCGCTACCGCCACAGCTGCTGCTTCCGCACGCCTGCTTTTTTCTTCCAAATGCACCTATAAAATGCGTCCAGGGAAATTTAGATTAGAGTTATCTTCTTCTCGAATACCGAGCAAAAACACATTGCCTTACAAGTGGTATTGCACTTCTAGTCCTCCCTCGGGTCGTGGTATAAAATATTCATGTTGGTCACCACCGCACACTTTAGACCCTTTTTCGTGTTCTTCTACCAAACCTCCTTTTTACTCGTATTGCATAAAACCACAAATTATTATTTTTTTAAGATAGCTAGTGGATAAGTCAATTACTACTATAATAGACTTCTCATCAGTTTTGACCTAACCATTTGAAATTTTCCGCCCAAAACCCATTGCGGTAGCAATTTAAAGTGTTAACGCATTTAATAGGTAAGTGGTATGAACGTGATTTGGGTGATAAACTGGCACAATACCAGAAGTGATGTCAGGGCAATATGTATGTGTGCTGTTGTGACAGGAGGAGAAACAGAACACGGAGCAACTGGCAGAAGAGTTGGAGTCGCGCGTCGTGCAGCATTCGAATCCATACCTCTTCGAGGCAACAGCAACAACTGCAGCAGTGCACCAGCAAGCAGGCGGCGGCAGCCGGGGGACTACCATCGCCTCCTCGGTGCCTCCGCACCTTCCCGGTTTCGGCCCTACAGGCTGGTCACCACCGCCATCTCCGCTCACGGGCCGAGTGGGCACTCCTACCACTCTGCATACCGTCATAACCACCGGTTACGGGGCCTCCATGGTTCCTGCGCATCGTGCAACTGTTGCCGCTGCAACCCACTACCCTTACACGACGGGGCGCGCGGGACCCCTCTTCCCTGGCGGTACCCCAGCTCCACAGCGTGCCAACTCAGCCATGGCACAGCTCCTCTGTCAGGTTAGTGCTCCCCTTTTCGTTTTCTTTAATGCATGCATTTGACTCGCCACCTTGAAGGGCTTTTTGTGGGACTTCAATTTAAACATACTTGATCATTCTTTCCCACTCGTTGACACGCCAGGGTTTTGCCTATTCTATGGAAAAATGAAAAATGAAACGAGTCTAAGCTTTGTTAAATGCATTCATTATCCCATCGCCTCAAAATCAGGATTTATTTACATCACTAAGCACTAATCTCAGTTTAACTACCTACATCCAGTGGGTGACTGAAATACCATTCACAGTTTGCTCCGCCACTAAACATTCGAGAGCAGCTCCATATGAATTTTATAATGTTTGGTTCCTACACGTTTATCGTAGCCTTTTTGCCGGTTTTCTCCAATTTTGACCAGATGGTAATGCTTACCCCTTCATTTGCTGCCTGATAAACTAGTCAGCCCATAAAACATGATTTTCAGCCACAGGCACTAAACGAGTATGACGGTATCGCACCAGCCGAGAGTCATTTTCAACGCCAGCGTTCGAATCCTGAGCCGGTACAAAGACAGGGTTCATCCGTCATGACTAGTAATCCGCAGGAGAGCCCCTATGAATTTGGCCCGGACAACGTTAGCGTCAGTCAGTTGCAGATGTGGCGACCGGAGAACAACGGCGAGAAGGTACACACGTGTTAACTTGAAGACGCCTCTTCTGCCGCCGTAATTATCTTTTTCTGCCGCCACTACCGCTGCCACTGCATCATGCGCGCCACCTTTGTGGAACGCGGGCTCCCCTGTGTGACCCTCTGCAGCATGCCATTGCAGGCTACCAGCACGATACGCACGCACTCTAATTGCACGCGCTAGGCGACAATTTTACGCCCACAATCACATAACCGCTTCATCGTTTTTAATTTTGGAGTATCCCATCAAAGCCTACATCTTAATTTAAGAGGCGGTCTTAAGTTTCAAATGAGAACATTGTTGTACCGATTTAAACGACAGAATGGATAGTGATTCAAATCGGGTAAATAAATGTCCGAAGGTAATTCAGAAAAGGGAGTCACCTGTACTCCAGGCAGAATCTCGTTTTTATAGCTACATTTATCAAAACACGGAGTACTAACTTCTTTGTATCAAACCCACTTTTTTATTTAATTTTGATAAGAGATACTGTTGAATCGGGATTGAATCGGTTGTTTGCTTAATACGTTCGATCTTTTTCAGATACTAGTAATTCGCTTTCCTTTGTCGTACCGCTAAATTACCTAAGTTCGTTAATTTTATCGCAGCTGTATACCATCGCAGTGGCGGATGCGCTCCGTCCGCACGCGATTAACGTAAACCGAAGCCATCGGGCTTTTCCTTCCCCACATTCATTACGGATTGTGAATGGCGATTACGCATCTTCCGCCTTCTCATCATATCAATAAGAATATGACATTACGTTGGAGAGTTTCTAGTGTATCAGAAATGTACACACTACGCTGTAGATTTAGTGGCACTGCGAGTCGGTTTACGCACAATAGTTCAGAATTTATGATGCAACAAAGTCATCCGATAAGGTAATTGCTAACATCCGGCGGCACAAGTCCAATGACCATTTCAGCTCATAATAGTGCATAATTACATGTCCTTAGTTCTGTTTTTTCTTTTCGCACAACTTATTGCATTTGCAAGATACTCTATCTCCATCTTAAAGGTATCTTGGAAATTAATGCTGCACGTATCCTAGTCGTTTTCACCTAAAATCTACAAAATCTGCAAAGTGTCTAAATTTTTAATGCTTCTCTGTTACTCTTCTGCACAAAAAACCGCAACTCTGTCCCGATTACGAAATACCTGATCTCTTGAGACGAGCTGTAGCCATTTCTCAGCCTATTGGTTAATCCCGTTTCTGCATAGTCTCGTTCTCACCTCTCCCTCTGAACCTAACGCCCGCTCATGAATGCTCTGCTGCACCCAATCTGACCTTTCTCTCTAAATTTATTTATAGCTAATTATGAGTGTGAATGCGTGTACCCTTTCTAGGTTCCCGAGGACCTCTCCTATCCCGTTCAGAGGGCTTCCAGCAGTTTAGGACAGGCCTATCCCAACCAATCAATAAACGGCGTCAGTGCTCCCTCTCCTTTGAGACAATCTAATACCTCTAGCACTGCTCGCATTTTGTAAGTCACATGTTACTCTCTTTTCTGACTCCTGATGGTTGATTCACTTAATCACTCACAAATGTTTACAGTGTGCGTAATACTGTTTGTGGGTGCATTTTCTTGATAATCTTCCATTTTTTTCTGGAATGGGATCAGTTTAACAATGGGATAGGTGTAGTACCTGTACAGTATCATTGTAACTTTGCTCTAAAATGTCATGTAAGGGTATTTTGTGTCCAAGTCTATCAATGTATCCCATCTGGGGGAGTTTTTGAAGATATTGGCGTTCTGTCGGATTGATTTGGGTCTACATACTGTCACACCCCATTGATAATTGTTGTGATCGTTCACGTACACATGTACACGCGCGAGTGTTGTGTGCTTGTAACACTGCTTACAAACTCCAATCCGTTGCGAGCAGTAGCGGCCGTAACCGCAGCCTCCAGCACCTGATGGAAGCGGAAGCCCTGAGACTGAATGAGAGTGGCCGCCCCAACTCGGCCAGTCCGGTGCCGCCTAAGCCCCAATTTCGCGTTCCCTCTGCAACCATTGCGCAACCTCCCGCCTCCCCTGAGCCACCCCCAGGCCCCAGCCACCGGCGTCACTCCGTCCCCTCTTACCGCATTGCCGTCTCCGGTAGTGCAGTGCGCCCTAGGTACCACTTGTGAAGCAATACACACTGAAGCACGTACACCTTGCTATCATCCCGGATCAGTAGCACCGCACGCGGGCTGATTAGCTCTTGCATGGATGACTTTCCACGGAAAGCATGAACTGTTTTGGATACTGTTATGCTGCTGAATGGCTCATTCTCATTGTTCATGAGCGGTACCTGACTTGGCGTGAACAGCGCCTAATGTTAGCCAACCCCATTTTAACTTTTACCGCCTACTTGTAAAAATACGGAAAAAGTCAAAACT